TACTCTGAAGGTTTAATTCCATGCTATTCAATGACAACACGATGACTTATGTGGTTTTCAGTGGCCATTTTGTGAGGGTGCGACAGGGTTGCCAGATTGTGGATTAATATTCCGTTTCACCCTCCTGGTCCCAGTGGAGTAAGTTCCGCCAACTGTTCAAATATACTCTACTATGCTTTATAAGACTACTCGTGACATTGTTCCCAAAATCATTGTACAACACTTGAAAAAATGCAAATGAAAATTTAAAATGATTTCCATGAAGCCGCAAAATAGCTCCGTCGGTACCTTGGGTTGTACATCTTGACAGTAGGAATGTTCGATACGATCCTATATTTAGAAGTATCAATACATTTCACGAATATAGTCATCTTTCGATCCGGACTGTGTCAGAAAGAGTGACTGACATTTGGCTGCGACATTACCCTGCCAAATAAGACATATCTTTCATCATCTTCAAAGAAATTGTACAAAATCTTCAAATTTGTGAAGTTAGCGAGTTTCACTTCATACGTTGTTACCAGACATGCCCAAATCATCAGTTGCTGCCGTGATATTCATCCCGACCACTGCATCCTCACGGCTAGGTGACCTGTATGTTAAATTTGTATTGATAGGGCAGCGGGTTATGCTATAAATCATATGTCACAGTGTTTGTGCACTGATTGCAACGGTTAGATGATACCAAAAATATTTTCATAAATAGGAGATCTTTCCCATTCCGGATCGAGCAATCTATCAAAGATGCTTATAATCGTGATACCTAGTAAATTTTCACCCTCCACCACGGGACGTGATCGTCGTTAGACTTGGCAACCCTGCTAGTGACAGATAAATGTCCCCGCCAGTCAAAAAAAGCAATAAATATTACTAGTTTTTATGATTTTTGGACTTAAAAGACATTATTTGTGAAACATTTTTCATAACTTTTTGTCTATGTCCATAGTAATTGCATTATGCATCAGGGAGATGTAGGGTTTGACACGACTTACACATATTATCTGCGTTTTAGGATGGAGAGGACATAATGTTTTTATTGCTTTAAAGAAATTCATTAACCCATAAATTAATAAATGATTACTATTATGACGTAAAGGAAGATGAGGAATTGGATGGAATGTATTTTATATTCTATTTTCTTGCAAAATACAGACAAATCCACACTATTCAACAGGTATGTAATGATAACTTTCAGTATATTGAAGTTGGTAAATTCGAGAGTGCCATTCATTAACAAACGTCCAAATCTGCTGCCAAATTTAACAGCTAGAAAATCGCCCTATTATTTGCCGCATTCCCATTCGCTGAGGGGGATAACGGATTGTTAAATGTAAACCTATAACATATATCAAAATACATAAAAGTTTTCCTGTTTTTTCTGTACAAAAGCATCATGTTGGAATCAAAAAGTGGTCTTGTTTATAATACAGTCGAATTTTCACGATTTTATTCAATATTTCAATAGAAATCACTTATATTCAGAGACCTTTGACAGCTTCTGTCAAATTACATTTCGATAAAGTATTTTCCCATTGGGTATCTTCACACATTGATTGACGTATTCCACCCGAAGATAAAATTGGCATCATAGAGACACCAAAAAAGGTTTAGCCCTAGCGCCATCTATGAGACAATAGTAGAACCAGACACTTTTCTAAACGTATGTCACTAAATTTATTTTCGTGTTTCAGGGATGGCACTAGCATTTTAGGATCCATCTTGAATCGCCGAACTATAGTATATCTGCAAGTAGAATACATCAATGGCAGTACTACGTAGAGGAAACTAAAGATTTAATATCTGGTGACTGAATAGAAAAATGAGTCGGGAAATTCTATCGATTTTTCTAAAATAGAAATAAATTATTAAATTGCTTTTTAGTTTTTCAAAATTTGCGGGGGTACTCGGCATAAAGCCATAAAAAATCCCTTTAATTGCAGACACAGTTATCCTGAAAAAGGTGGACTATTCGTATGTACTACAAACCAACATTTTAGAATTTAGGTTATTACGTACTTTGTTAGTTAGACATGTTCTTTTACAACTTTCCATATATACGCTGTTCACATTAGCATAGTTATGGTTGCCACGGGGTAGACTGGCCGGAGCGAAGCGAGTGACTCATCCTGTTTTATCCAGTTTTCAAGCCGGGCGGATCTAAAAGTTCAGCGATGTAAGCGAGCTTAATTACTGCGGTCCAGATCACAGACGACCGAATATAGAGACAAGAAAATGAGCGGAGGAATATAGAGATTGAACCATGTAGATACAGGAAGGATAGGATTAGGGATTTCTAATATATATGATAATTTTCAATTGAGTTTTTCAGTAATGAAGATGTCCATTTTTAGAGTTCTTATTACCCGACTGCCTCAGAAGGAGTGATATGTATGTATCCAAAAAAGTATACCTCTCGGGCTACAGGCCAAACGGCTTGATGAATTTTAACATATGAGGTGCCGTTGGATTCATCTTAGCGGTGCGAGCAACACAGGCTACCTTAAGATTTAATAAAAAATAAATGATAGTTTAAAAACTAAAAAAACATGCTTTTATAGCTAACCGAACTAAAAAGTGGAAAATAATTTTTAATTACAAAGAGATTACAGTGTAGATGGTCGAACAATCAATCATAATTAATGACCTCAAAATAAAATTATAATAAAATTTTAGTTACTAACAGAATAATTCAATTCAGAGTAAAAAGCGTGGGGTGCTTAATATATTGAATATTACAATCATTCTATTGGCAACTATCTATAAGAGGAGGATTATGAAAATGTAGTAAAATGCACCCTACGCTTTCTACTCTGAATTGGATTATTCTGTTAATAAGTTAAATTTTAGTTTAAGGTCACTAATTAAGATTGAATGTTCGACTATCTACTACTGTAATATGAACTCTTTGTAATTGAAAATTATTTTCTACTCTCTAGTTCGGTTAGCTATAACAGTTTTTTTTTTAGTTTTTTCAAACTATTATTTATATTTCATTTTGCAGTTCGATCTATAAATTACTTTTTTGTGGTCATATGGTATTGAAATGTCTTACTAATCATTTCGTAATCTAGTCATTTCATGTAGAGCTTCACTGTTGCATGGGGTTTTTTCTGTTAACTTAGAGCAATCAAGTTCTTCAACCAACAAGGAGTAAGTCCGAAACTGAACGCATGCGCAGATCGCGCCCTAGCTCTATCTCTTTTACTCCCCTACAGAGGATCTATAAAAGAATTTATCAATCCTGGCGGTCCTAATAAGGATAATGGAAAACTGTTATCAAATTATTGCATTGTCATCGGTTCTTGATACGTGTGCGAAGTTTCAAATTAATCAAACTTCTGGAGATTGGAGAAAATTATGCTCAAAGATCCCGTTAGCTGCATGCATACATACATACCTACATACATACATACAGGCCAAGCTAATAAAAGCGTGTTAAAAAAATTAAAAATAAAAGCGTGTTAAAAATCTACCTCGAAATTCGTATTTCACAGGCTATAGCTTAAATGATTGGATGGATTTTCACATGGGAGATGTTTCTATATTTGTCTTGATAACGTGAATGACGCTGGATTTATCAAAATTTCGTAAAATTAAAACCTTTTCCTCTGTCCTGAAGGCAATGCCTCCAGGACCGTGGATGTGTGGGATTTGTTCACGCTTTCCGTTTTTGGGCCACCTTCCAGAGATGAATGCTTGAGTCAAGCATCGCCGCTAGTCGTTCATTGTTCATTTCGGAATTCATGAAGAGCATTTCTTACCTCGTGAACAAAATTCGTCGCTCTGCGAATGTCATCAGGATTATCAGAAATTTTCTGACGAATGTCTGCTGGCAGAAAAGGTCTGCCGTGTCGCTGCACGGGAAGTACAGCTGCACGCTGCAGAGCTTGCTGAACAAGACTTGTCCACTCTGCTTGAGCCGCATCTATACCGTTCTAATCATCTATGATCGGAATATTAGGCAACTCTCTGAGGAGCGACTTGTATACAATGTGTTTCCTTGGAGGGGTTTCACCCCCTAAGATCTGCTCATTACCCACTTCCAAAACGACGGGAAGATGATCGCTTGAGATGTCATACATGATTCGAGAAGTGATACTGTATCTACAGTATTTGGATAATGCAAAATCAAGAACATCAGGTGCCTGTAGGTGATTAAATGGGTGGTGCGTCGGCTCCTCAGTACTATGTATGAGGTAGCAATTTCGTATCACATGGTTGTACAGTCGGATCCACTGGGGGAATTCAACCTAGAATGCCATGCTCGATGTTTGCAGTTGAAGTCCCCTGCCACAATAGGTGGAGCCGTACAGACTAAAAGGACTTCCAGATCTGCCTCTTGCAGCCTGATACCACCCTGACATACACCGATGTGATTTCTAACGTCATATTGACCACCACGGAGGCCGCTTCGATGCTCTGCATCTCAGTGTTTGTGCTTCTGTGGTAGTCAATACCGCGTTTCACTAGCACTGCCAAGCCGCCACCCCGTCCAGTCAATCTATCAGCTCGGATAACATCGTAATTCGGGAAAGCTAGACGATCTCCCGGATTAAGTAATGTTTCCTGCAGCAAGGCCACATCTATACTTTCGTTCATAAGAGCTTGATGAAATTCCCGTTTTTGGGAATATCTCTTAGACCCAAACAATTCTCAAAAATTATTTTGATAAATTCAGGTTGTCGTCTATTGTACCTAGCCATTTGCAGGAAAGATCGCCTGCAAAGCCTGTGCTGCGCTAATCAGAGTACCTATGATCTGCGGTTTCCAGGTCCACATTTTGCGTGTTCGCAGAAGATCTCACAGAGGGGGCAGCCCGAATTGCATCCCTAGCTGCATCCGCGTAACTTACATTGCGCCTTTGCGCTAACACTTCCAGATTTTCCTAGGGGCAAATCTGCATGTTCCACAATTCTGTGGGTGCCCCCCTCCACAGTTCGCGCACTTTCGTTCCTCTTGTTCTGTTTAAGGGCATCAGTGGGTCATGTGGTCAGAAGCACATTTTAGACACTTAGGTGGTGCCCATATTTTTGGCAGCGGTGACACTGCTCGATGAGTCTTGAGTTCTTTTGAACGACTTCGGATAGCCAAACCTAGCAGCTCATGTTCGTTGAACAGCTGCTGAGATTTTTTTATCTTGGGCAGTATGACTACCACCAAAGGCATGGGCATGCCGCCACCGCGTTTCAGACGAATTATGTGCAGGGTGGAATATCCCTCCTGTTGCAACTCTTCCTTGATCTCCGTTTCCGAAAGCTTCGCAGGTACTCCTCTGATTACAGCATGAATGTTCCTCTCCGAGGGTAGAGGGAAAGTGTTGTGGAGAACCTCTTCCTCCCTGAAGAGACGAATAATCCTGCGGTAATCATCCTCGGACTTGCGAATTATCCTGATTCCTGCATTGACGGCAACAGCGTGTTCCAATTTGATGCCCAAAGAAATAAACTTGTGATTTACGCCTCGCCATCTCAAATAATCGAAGAATGATGGGGGTAACACGTACCTTGCGTGGGGGCTGTGCAGTCGTGTCTTCTGATACCTGAGATGTCGAAGGCGAAGAAGTAACCGATAGATTAGGCACAGGCTGTTTATTCGAGTCGCTTGCAGTTGAACGAGACGTTTCAGACTGCGATTTTGGTGGAGGGAGAGGAGGAAAGCCTCTCGTGTCGGTCTTGTTTCATCGCGTTTTATGGGGCTTAACCTTAATAAAACCGTCAGGGAGTGTATCGTAGTCAATGGAATGATCGCTTGAATTATTTAACGGTCTCTTAAGATTGACAGCTTTGTCTTTACTGGGATTTTGTTGGCGTGTTTGGGAAGAATGTGTAATATTTAGATGAGAAGGTAGCTGAGCTTTCAGTAGGAGGTCTAATTTAACTGTTAGGTCGTTAATTGTCCGCTGCTGGGTTTCGATGATCATCATCAATCTTTCATTGGTCTTCTTATCATCGTCCTTTTTTCACAGCTCTTGTCAAACCACCTCCAATTCGGCTCTCAACTCCTCTACGGTCTGCTCCTTCGACTCCGTCTCGATCGCCATGGTGGAAGCTCCATTTCCTGACCCCCCTGTGCCAGTTTCCATAGTAAATACCTCACTTATCTCGCTTTTCGTCTCAAAAATTTTCCGGATCGAAATTACGGGACAGCTGCTGTCAGTGCCCTTTACAGGACGATTTCCGTTCTATTATTTTGCTGACTTTACTTGTAGTGGGATTTCAAATTAACTTGCACATTAACATTGCCTCTTCTTCTCTACAAGTTTGCCTCATTAGAATTTCATTATCGCGTTTCGTCTCTTGTCCTCTAGCATTAACTTTATTGTTACTTTACGCCGTATTGTATTTTTACACAAATGAATAGAGCTTTCCATTCTGATTCCAAAAATGTATAATATGTCATACGTTGACATTGCCAAACCGTAATTATTTGAAAGCAGAGTTTCCTAGGTAGGCCTTGATATTATCATAGATATAGTCATTTGTTTCGCATACCAGAATCCCACTACAAACATAGTCAAGAAAAAATCAAAATGATTTTTGGAAAAATTTAATTTTTCCGTCTCTTTTCGGAACAACTTTAAATTTCGATACTTTCTAAGCGGCATTTTGTTAGCTACCTTTGCCCTCATTTAATCGACTTCGTATCTCTTACTGGTGCTGAGATCATGGTGATGAGATCGCGTCATAGGGAACGAGAATGACACTTTGACTAACCACCATGCAAATTCACTTCCGTTATCCAGCCCATTTACTATTTAGCTGCAATCCTACCTAAAATTCCCAAAATTGTATGCAAAACCCTGCTAAATATGCAAATGTTGAGGTTCAACCGGATTCCTGAAAAATTGGAATTGTGTGACATAAGGTTTTTGAAATAACCAATTCAGTTGTAAATATACTCCTTGTACAACAGTATTTCTAATCCACAGGTTGGAACAAAGAAAGTCTAACGCGAGATTTATATCGTCGGAAATCTGATTAAATCCAGCTTCAGCGGATTCCTGGCAAGCTGGGCATTTCCTCTCTGCATCAAATCTATCCGAAATCGCCGATACTCCGAATGCGGTGTACCGAAAACGCAACAAGCTCATGAAAAATAAACAAGAGCCAGTAGTTTTTAAAAATGCAGACTCTTGGCACACTACTTCGCTACAAGGATAATGGATTCTAAAATCTTGCCAAGGGATCTGTTTCATGGATCCTTGAATATTCCTCTATACTCTTCGAGCAGGATAACGACACGTGGGACACGCTTTTGAAGCGTAATGGCTGCAAAAGGTTGTTTGAAGTTGTAAGGAAATTTGACGATGCACGTTGTCGGGAATGAGATTACAGGGCTGTCTAGAAATTGCTCTGGATGTGATTTTTTGAAACTACTCAAAAAGGTGTTGTTTGTGTTCTAAAAGCAATACTATGTGATTTGAAAAGTTCGTGGAGCCGCAAATAGAAAGTATCAGAAATCATATTGCTTTACTAGACGACTATACCGGGTATTTGAAATTTGACAGTCACCATTGAGATCTCGAAAACGGTAAGAGATACTGAGTCACCTAAATGGGGACAAAATTGCGTATTTAGACGCCGCTTAGGAAATTTTGAAGAGAGAGATGGAAAAACTGAACTTTCCCAAAATCGTTTTAATTTTTTACTACCTCTATTTGTTCTGGAATTTTTAAATAGATTGCACAATACGATTGCCTATTTCTCGTCTACAGGATAGTATAGCTAAAATTTTAATATGACTTTATTTTTTCTAATGGACGCCATATTAGATTTTTACATAGATAAGTCGAGTTTTTAATTCTCATTCTAAAAATATGTAATATAGATATTGCCAAACCTGAGTTAAATCAAAAAAATAGAATTTCCGAGGTAGGCCTTGAAACTATCATGTAGTAATTTGTTGAAGAATCGTTGTTTATTTCCCAGTTTTACTTGGAATGGGATTTTAAAATAAATTGCATGTTTAGCATTGTTCCTTTTTCTCGTCCACATCTCTCATTTAGACCTTTCTGCTTTCTCCATGGACTCCCTTTTAAAAGTTTGCGCAAACAAATACAATTTCTGATTCTTCATTTAGTTATGAATATAATATACATTTATTTGTATCATTATAAACTTTACATATATAACTGAAGTAATAGGTCCTTAGTATCATTTAAACGAGATAGTATCTGTATAAAAAAACAAAGTTGGCGATGGAACTTGAAAGAAGAAAACCTCGAATTGAAAATTTGAACACGCCATCTTGTAGAAAAAGTGGCGATTACATGCAATTTATTACGAAATCGCATCTCAGATAAATAATACAGGAAAGATAAAAATGATTTTGTGACAAATCTGATATACGAAGCAAATGACTATCTGCTAATTTCAAGGCCTAGCTAGGAAATTCTGTTTTTTGAAATAACTAAGGTTTGTGGTCTATCTCTGGAAGTACATTTAATTTTAATACTTTCTGAGAGGCATTTTATTAGTTACCTAAATATGCAACTTTCCGACAGTGAGGGTAGAATTTGAAATACCCGGTAAAAGACGCTGAAGACCATAGGTCACCTATAATCGCCCCAGTGACCTCTTTCCCCATTTTGAGCATTTCCTTTTCACTATGTATACCATCTTTTCCAATAAAATACTTGTTTTAGTAGGGATTTCCGCTAGACTAACTAAAGTTTAAATGTGTCGATATTTCTGTGGTCTTTTGTATAGAATTGAGTGAGCTTGCTTATTATCCAAAATCGACGTACCCATCGACATCTCTGCATTTACTTGAGCAAATAAAAAAGAAATAGTTATTTGTGTAATAAAAGCATAAAGTGGTACTTTGCCACTCAATAGATATGTCTTGAAGCTACTGGACATACGATTTTTATTAATTGAATCAGTTCACATTTCCCTACACAATAATTATAAAATTGATGAGAATTCGCAAATACACAATATTATTATACCCGAACACCCAGAACACTTGGCAACAACACATTTTTTGGGAAAAAGGATCTAAGAAATGTTTGAGGAAATCGAAAAGGCAATTTGCGATGAGCACAAATATGCCCTTAGAGGCAATTTGGAGGTCAAGTTTGTAAATTCAAATAGCTCTTTTTGACAGCAAATTCGTGTCGAACTCGAGATCCTGCAACAGAGTGCAGTTTCATACATGAGCTCAAAGAGTCATAAGTGGTCAATCAATATTGTACGGAAAACACCACTTTTTCTATTCAGAGTCTTATTTTAATACTCTTACATCAATCTATAACAACACTTGCAACTAATTTATGACAAATATAATATAACCATGTCGACTGAACTATGTTCACGCATCGGTCGCTACTCGTAAAGCATCCCATAAACCGGCGCGAAATATTCGCTTTGCCTGCGAAAATTTCGCGGCGATGAATTCGCGATCAGATTAAAACGCGGCGGTTTACGGACAGGCTCAGACTTGTGCGAAGCGAATGCGATTGTTCCAGCGTTTTTATCGCGGCGTATTTCAGTTCGCCGTTGACCGCGTTGTTGACGCCGTTCTTCAAAAATTCGCAATGGCAAAAACGGAATTATTGATAGAAATAGTGAAAAAGTATCCTTGTTTGTATGATTTATCGAACGATGAATACAGGAATGTGAGAAAGAAAGACAAGATTTGGATGGAAATAGGAAAAGAATTAAATACAAATGGTATGTACCTAATATTTTTTATTAACTTGTTAAATAATTTACAGTCTACACAAATGTGAAAACGAACATTCTATATATTGGGCATAGGCATATCAGAATTAAAATAATTTACGAATTTGTCACGAGTAGAAAATGCTAGCCTTGCTGCCCGCCGAGGATCATTTGCTATATCAGTAACAGCTCCAAGCACGGGTTCTGGGGGATCTAAGAATTGAAAATTTGTCATCGCCACTTTTACTTCGTAAAAAATTGTGTAAAACACATGCCGTACGTACAATTAGAATAGTAGTATCTACTTTAGTTTCTAATGGCCTGTAAAATATTCGCCATTTTTGAGACAAAATACCAAACGCATTTTCCACGACCCTTCTAGCTCGACAAAGTCTTACATTGTATTTCTCTTTTCTGACGTCTGTTAAAGTCTGCTCATAAGGAAATGGTCTCATAAGGTATCGTTTTAAAGCAAATGCTTCATCACCAATTAAGACGTACGAGCAG